TGTTTTCAAGTTAGAAACTCGTCCTCCCTACTCCCAGATCTTTACCTTTTCCAGTGAGGATGGTCCTACCAACTCCCCAAGGATTCTGACCCCTGGAGGGGTGACTATGAGAATCCCTTTCTAGAGATCCTACACCAACTATACACTCTCTAAATTTTCTCCAAGCTCTTCAACCCCAGACCAGAAAAGTTTCTTATCTCCTCTTTGTGGGATGGAGATATGGCTTGTATACCATCACATGGTTTTCCTCCTCTATGGTTTAGGTTATAAACTCTATGTTCTTAGTGCTCCAGGATTTGCCTCAGAAGAGTTTAAAAAATTATTTTTTTCTCTTTCAATGCTATTGTATCTTCCCCCCTCAAAAGCCTATTTTGAAATTCAAAGTAAAGACTTTGATTTGCTGAATTCTGCTGGGTTCTTTGGTATTTTCCCTTCTCTAGGACAAAAGCCTCAGGCTAAAGATCTAAATTTAATGGTGAAAATGTTGTAGGGTAAAAAGTAAATGCCAAGAAGGAAGAATGCAGCTGTCAATGTTTTAAAACATTTTACAGCTACTTATATGGTATGAACTGAATGGCTTAGGTGGTCTACCAGATAATTTTGCCCTTTTGGGGGGGAACTGTGAAGACGCTAGGCACATTTCTCAAGATGCTAAGTTCAAATAGTTTTTGAAATTTACCATAGGAGGCTGATTTTTCTCTCCCTCCCTGGCTTTAAAAATATTTCCAATGAAAACCCTTTCTTTCCCATGATCCTCCAGAACCTGGGAAGGTAAATTGGCAAAATTCCACATAGTAAGCAATACTCACTGCCATCTAATAGACTGAACTATCTCCTTGGGGATAGCCCTGTGGCTAAAAATGTCAAGTCTGGGATCTTAAAGCTGTACCAGAAAAACTGTGGGAAATATTGTTTTCTTGGCTGGAGAATAGATTGGATGACTGGAATGTCTTTTTCCCAGCCTGGTAATTTCTATGATTCAAGGAAACAGACCTTAAAAGGAATGGAGGAAATACAATTTTCAGAGAACAAAAGTGAAGACTAGTTATTCTAATATTCTGAAAAGTATTGTATGAGTATTTGATAAATGTTTGCTAATGATAAATATCACATCTAAAGAATTAATTAAATGCTTATATTATCATGGAGCTAAGCTCCTGATTATTGGGAAAAGGTCAACACACTCCAAGATTTCTGAGTTCATGACTGTAAATTTGTATTTTTTTCATAATATTCACAAAATATTATGTGAATATTATGTGAATACCACAGAATGCTTACATTAAATGCAGTGAAAATGAAGATGCTTTGCTCCCAATATGGAATGTTGAAACTAAACTCAATTATGTTGAATGTTGCCATGGCAGGTATATAACCCATAGAAAAATGATTCATGACTAAGTGATGTATGTATATATGTATAAATATGTATGTGCATGCATGTCTATGTGTAATTATATATATATATATATATATATATATATATATATATATATATATATATATATATATATATATAGGTTTTGAAAAGTGAAAGGTATTTTTTACCTCCTAGAGAGAGTTTGATATTTCAATCTCTCAAAAAATAATTTTATTTGGGGTAGGGTATCACTTTGTGAGGGGTGTAAATGTCTATTACATTGCTTTATACACCTGAAACTAATAATTTGTGTGTGTGTGTGTGTGTGTACATATTTACATATATATGGAAAACAAAACAAATAAAAAATAACTTTCTATCATGGAGCAGTGGTTAAGAACATCGGTGCTGGAGTCAGACTGCCTGGCCTAAAACCATTCATTAGCTGTGTGACCTTGGGCAAGGTACTGAACTTTTTTTGTATAGCAGTAACCGCATCTTAACTGCACCTGCCCCACGGAGTGGTTGTAGGGATTAGGTGAATTAGAACATGGCACTGTATAAAGTACAAAACAAATGTGAACTTTGATTATAATTACTAAAATGTGCAAGGCCCATGCTAGATACTTTGGAGGATGAAAAAGAGATAGTTTGCACACTTATACAGTTTACTCTCTAATTGGGAACCCAAGCTACAGTCCCATAGAAACTTAAATATTAACATCTGAGAAGAAAACCCAACAGTTCACTTCAGCAGCACAGACTACTCTCTGAAATATAGAAGCCATGGAGGCTGGGTGACCTGCATCGAGAGGAGTATCTTTATATAAGGCGGTAGTCTCATATTTATTCCCTTTCACTTTATGCTTATCTCTTTGACATGATGAAAAAAGACTCAAGGTAGATTGTATAATAAACATCATTTGCAGTGGCCCAGCCTACAGTAATCCTGCAGTGGCTTAGCCCTGGGTGAGTGTTAAATGATGCAGATGCTGGTGCTGGATTAAGGCTCTTGACAACAGAGGTTGGTCAAGCTGTGAGTACTCTGAGAAGTGGGCCAACCCATCATTGCTGCATTTTATAGAGAGATGGCGATTGCTTCAGCTGATTTTTAAATTTTTTCTGAGATTGACAGAGAGTTCCAGATTGTGGTTATCCAGCTTTAGAGGCAAGTCTGTAAAAGGACTGGCACAAAACTACAAGTCTAATTGCCAAAGTGAATATTACAGTTAACAAATTCTCCATGAGCTCAAGGACAAAGCTGCTTATTGTGGTCTGGGATGATCATGGAAGGCCTTGGGAAGTAGTGATTATGAAAGGGCCTTCAATAGGAATTTAAGGTAAACCTTGGATTAATCCCTTTTAAGTCAAATATTAATTCCCCTAACTTAATTTTTTAACTTACCACTCCAGAGTTTCACCTAAAGACTGTCTTTGAATGGTACCCATAACAAAAGATAATTTTTTGGTTAAACTATGTGTTTGATAGGTTTCCAGTGTTGATCTGATTATATAATCTTCATCATAACATTGTTCCCGTGGGGGAAAAAGGGCATTCTGAATTTCAGACAATTAATTTATAAACCCGTTTTTGAAAACTCTGGTTTGATTGGTTCTTTCACTCAACAATGATTTATTGAGTGCTTTTCATGTATCAGACATTGTTGTAGGCACATATGAACAAAACAAAGATCCCTGCCCTCATGGAGCTGACATTCTAGAGGGGATAGGCAATTAAGCAATACACATAATAAATAATTGGTATAGTATGCTGAATGGTGCTAAGTTCTATAGAAAAAAGAAAAAGTAGAGCAGGGTAAGAGGGCTGGGGATGGGTGGTAATTTTGAATAGGATGGTCATTGAGAAGGTAACATTTAAGCAAAGTGTGAAGGAAGTCAGCCAAGATGACTGACTATATCTGGGTGAAGAGCATTTAAGGCAGAAGGAAGAGCCAGTGCAAAGGCCCTGTGGTAGGAACTTACCTAGTGAGTTTGAGGAACAGCAAGGAAACTGTTGGAGGGGTGGGAGAGAGGAGAAGATGGGGCCAGAGTGGTGAGTTGGGTAGAGGTAGGGATGGAATTTGCTACATCAGGTAGAGAGCCTTGCAAGCCTCGCCAGGCTATACAGCCTTTGAGAAAGTTAGTGACCTGTCTTAACATAAGGCCTGCATATATCAGAATAACCACTCCTTTTCCCTGTGTCCTATACATCAACTGTAATGTGCATACAAATCACCTGAGACCTTGATACAATTGAAATTCTGATCAGCAGGTCTGGGATAGGGCCTGAAATTCTGCATTTTAAACAAGCATGCAGATGATGCCAGGCTACCAGTCCACAACCACACATGAGTAATGAAAGTGAGATGTGCTGAGCTCCCAGGGGCTTTAGTGCTTACCTCTGCATTAGTTCGTTCCCTTTGAACCTGATAGGACAACATCAAAAGGTTTTTGTTCACACTTTCATATTGGTCATGGTCTCACCACTGGCCTATTTCACGGACCTATCACCTGGCTAGTAAGAGCATGGCCTAGGGCTCCCTCCGGGAACATGAGATAGGCTGTCTGGCTGTTTCCATGCAGGGTCTAAACATTTTCTAGTGCCCCCTCACTGCCACTATGGAGGCTCAGCTTCTGAACTTCAATCTGGGAAACCCTATTCTGCTCCTTCAATGATAATTAAACTCTCTAACCACATCCCGTCTCACTCCAATTACAGGCGTTCTGACTTGTGGCTTTCACTCCTGGCCCTGTGCTGTGAGTGATAGTTCAGCTCTGTAAACTGGGCCTGCGGCAGCTAGAGGACTTGTGTGATGCTCCCAGACAGAGGAAGTGCTCTGCTGATGCCTGTTTAACAGGCAAGGCTAGCGTTCTTAAGAGCTAGCGAGGTAACTTGACAGCTGAGCAGGCCTGAAAGGACTTGTGAATATATAAAGCACAGGTTATGAGTCAGATAGGCTTGGGTTTGACCTGTGCTTCCACCTCCTTTTCTGTGTTCCTTGGAGTCCCTGAACCACAGTTTTCTCATCTTTCTGGAAACTGAGAGTAACACTATCTCCTTAATATATTGAGATAATGCATATAAAGCACTTAACGTGCCTAATACATAACGATACTCACGAAATACTAGTTGCTATTATTTTTATAATTACTATTAACATCCCACCATACCAAATGGCTTTGTGGCCTGACATTATGGTGCCTTTATATGCCCTGGAGTTAACGCAGCAGGGCAAATCCCTCAGCAAAGGCTTTCAAAGATGAGACACTGAGGCCAATGCAGTTCCACCATGATAGATGTCACAGGAAATAACTGAAGGAACTGAAGATGTTTAGTTTAGAAAGTAGATAATGGGGGTTCAGACGTGATGGCTGCCTTCGTGTTGTCTTGTATAGGAGGTATTAGACTTGTTCTATGAGACCCCCGAGGGCACAACAGAGACCAAAGGAAAGAAATGAAAGGGAAGCACATCGCTTTCCAAAGCGAAGCGAGCCAGGGTGAGATAGGGGTAAGCCCGTCTGTGAGGGTCGTCAGCTCCTGCGCAGCTGCGGCGGCAGAGCCAATCACCGGCCGTAGCCCGCCCTCGCGCGACGGTACAGTCGTACAGCCGTGACGTCGTGGTTGCCATGGAGAGTACCGCCCATTTGGGACCGCAAGCTGGCGCCACAGGCAACGGGGTCGGAGCGTGCCTTTGAAGTCGCGTAGGCTACCACCATGAGCGGCCGAAGTCGGGGTAGAAAGTCCTCCCGCGCCAAAAGCCGGGGCAAAGGGCGAGCCAGAGCCCGCGTCCGCGCTGCTCCGGACAGCGCCCCGCGTGAGCCGGACCTTCCACTGTTCCAGAGGCTCGAGGAGGAACCCCCGGCAGCACAGGTGCAGGCTGGCGAGGGTTGGGGTGGCCTGGAAACCGCCGCGCCCGTGCCGCTCTTCCAGGCGGGGGAAGAGGCCGCCTGCCGGCTCCCTCTGGATTGTGGCCTCGCGCTCCGGGCCCGAGCGGCGGGGGATCGCGGGCGGGCCGAGACCAGGCTCGGCCCGAGAAAGGCCACGTCCCTCTCGGAGCGCCTGACGACAGACACGGTCTTCGTAGGAACCGCGGGAACTGTGGGAAGGCCGAAAAATGGCCCCCGCGTTGGAAATCGGCGTGGGCCTGCTGGAAAGAAGGGCCCAGAAACCTGTAGCGCCTTAGGGAAGGGGTCTCAGCCCGTAGCTGGTGGGAAGCCGAAGAAAGGGACCTCCGGGGAGTGTGTGCCCGTCCCAGTGGTAGAGGAAAACGAGCTGGAAACGGATGCAGACCCAGGGCCCCTGGCGTCGGATGGCAGCATGGATACGCTGGAGAACGTCCAGCTGAAGCTGGAGACCATGAATGCCCAGGCCGACAGGGCCTACCTTCGCCTCTCCCGCAAGTTTGGGCAGTTGCGACTGCACCACCTAGAGCGTAGGAACCTCCTCATCCAGAATATCCCGGGCTTCTGGGGGCAAGCTTTTCAGAACCACCCCCAGCTATCATCCTTTCTGAACAACCAAGATAAAGAAGTACTCAGCTACTTGAACAGCTTGGAGGTGGAAGAGCTTGGCCTCGCCAGATTGGGCTACAAAATCAAGTTCTACTTCGGGCGCAACCCCTATTTCCAAAATAAGGTGCTCATCAAGGAATATGGGTGTGGTCCTTCAGGTCAGGTGGTGTCTCGTTCTACTCCAATCCAGTGGCTCCCAGGGCATGATCTCCAGTCCCTAAGCCAGGGGAACTCAGACAACAGCCGTAGCTTTTTTGGGTGGTTTTCAAACCACAGCTCCATTGAGTCTGACAAGATTGTTGAAATAATTAATGAGGAACTGTGGCCCAATCCCCTGCAGTACTACCTTATGAGTGAAGGGGCCCGTGCAGAGAAAGGAAAGGAGGGCAGGCAGGGCCCAGCAAGACAGCCAGTGGAGACCCCTGAGCCTGGGGGAAAGAAAGCCAACTGATCTTGCACAAGGCTTGCTACTACCTCCTGCTGGACCGGTGTCTGGCTGACCACCTGTGTTTGGCTGTCTGGCCCCTCTCTTCATGTTGACTGCTGTGTATTCGGTTCCATTTGAATTTCAGTTACAAGAATATGACATTTATGACCATGTTCTTTGGCCTTCCCATGGCCTCGTTTTTTTACATGAGTGCCACGTGTTACGGGATCTCACTCCTACCAGTTGTATGTTTAGAACACATGCTTGAGATGTGTGCTGCCTTTATCTACATGCCTGGACCCTGTTCTTGGCTCTGGCCTTTCCCACCTGTCTTTAACATGGACACTCATGAGCCCTTCTCCAAGAGGACCAGTGCTTCCTTACGCTCTGCTCCTTCAGGGCCACTGACTTGATGGGCTTCGTATGCATGCTGGTCATGCATGCCATGTGTGACAAGATTTTCTGTTGCCACTGCAGAATGAAGCTCGTGCACATGGTACTGGCCATCAGCCAGAACTGATTGTTCAGTGACTTGGGGTCACTAGCCAAGGTCCCACTTACTGGATCTCTGGCCAGGGGTCCATGCTACCCTGCAGGACATACAGCAGAATGGCACTTGACCGCTGTGCATGGATGAGGTTAAGGGTGAGAAGCAGTATGCCGTGTGTTCTATTACCATCATGCATCTCTTCCTGCCTCTGGGCCCTTCTGCTGGGGAACCTTTGTCAAGTTCTGCACTGTGTCCCATCACCCTCAGGCCACTGAGTTTTGTCTAGGTTGCTGTTGGCCCCAGTTGGCTTCCTTTTCAACAAGGACCTCAAGAACTGCTTGTGGACCCAGGCCTCCTGCCAGTATGTGAGACACACACCTACCCTCCCCAGCCTTCCATGAACCCTATTGGCTGCCAGACTGATGGGTAGGGCTGGTATGTGTGGACACGTGATCACTGTCATCATGTGTGGCTCCAGGTGATGGTGGGGACTAGACCCACATAGAATGTAGGTACCTTTCTCAACTCCCTTTATCTCTTCCTCACACATGACCAGAGTGGAACAGTGGGGCTGCTGGGGAAGAGGTATTCTGATAATGTGAGCCTGTGTCTACATGTCATGCCTGCATACAGCCTTATTTGCTTTTCCTTCTTTGCTTCTACCTTCGAATACCCATAGGGATAGGCTTTAGTCTTCAGTATGGGGCATCACAATGCTTTCTCCTGGGGTTTGGGGGTGAGGGTGGGCAGAATCTGTTCTGGATCTCCAAGACTCGTTTCCACTGGGTGTAAAAGCTGAGCTGGGCCCTCCCTACCCAGGCTTGTCTTGTGTGTTATTTCCCCCTCTCATCCCTGAAGGTGGGGAAGTAGGACTGTATCTATAGTTGTCCTCCCCCTAACTTTGCTTTCCTTATGGAAGACCTCATTCTGAGATTCCAAAGGACTGGGAAGGCTTTCACTCAAGAGTTGTAGAGGGTGTGCTAGGCAGGGGAGTCAGAGCAAAATGTAGTGCAGAAATGAGATTGGTGTGGAGTGGGCCTGGAAAAGTAGGTAGAAATGGCTTGAGAAGCCTCGGGGAGAATATGCCTATCTCAGTGATAGAAGGGACGTGGAAGAACCTTCCTGTGGGTGGGGCTGTGAGAATTAATGGGGTGGCAGGTAAATACATAGTAACAGGATGCATCCACAAAAGGAGAGGGTATGCCCCAAATTTTGTCTAGGTCAGGATACGCCCAAAGTTTTGTCCAATCTCTATTTCATCATTAGTGTGTTTTATAAATAAGAGAAACAAACCAAAAACAAAATAATGTTATGCTGAATTCTTTTTCTTTTGTTCTAGGTGTGGCCTTATGTATGTGGAAGATTAATGCTATATGCTGCTTATTTTGCCTCTAAGTACCACGTTCCTCGTTTTTGCCTAATGGGAAAATAGAGCTGTACAGGTCTGCCTTTTTTTTTTTTTGTTTTTAAACTTTCAGCTCTTTATTATGGACATTTCCAGACATGCACAGAAGTGAAGAGGATGTTCCCTGGACCTTATGTGCCTGCCTGTCGCCTAGCTACATCATTTATTAATTATGATCAACTTGGTTTCACCTGTATCTCCCTCTTCCACCTGTATTGTTTATTGAAAGTCCAAGACACTGTGCCAATTCAGCTGTGACTACTTTAGGAAATTGGGACTCACTTTTGGTGGTGATAGCGTCGGGGTACACTATCATTATTGTATCAGGTCTGTTTTTTTGCTCCTAATGTTAACTAATGAAGTTCCAGAGATAGGCCTTAGAAATGAAAGTCTTCAGAATTAACAGGGAATCTCAGAAAGAGATGAAGGGGATGCTCCCTTCCCCCTGCATCCACGAAAGGAGAGCGTGACTGTTGTAAACGGTTTTGAAGACTGATAAAATATGGAGCTTACTTGAGACCCTTCACCAGAATATCGGTCTTTTTCTCCTGTGTAAGATAGAGACTCATGTGACTATTAGAGTTGTTTTCAGCTTGTCCTGGTCTCGTAATATATCTCTGGTCTTGGAATAATTTGGAAATTGTTGCTGTGTTTGTGAAAATAGCCCACCAATAAAAATAATCAGTAACTGGTTGTTTTACTTGCTAATTTGACACCCTGATAATAATGCAATTATTCCTTTTTTTCTAAACAGTATAAATAGTTGTTAGCTTGCATGCATGAGGAAAAAATAAAAGCCTGTATCTGTTATATTTTATTTTCAAAAAAGACTTAGAGTCTGGGTAGTTGCAGGAATGTATACATTGGTCTCAATGAGTGATTCTTAAACCTCAGGCCCTTGTATGACTAACTGTGTGACCATATATAAAATTCTGATTTGCAAACCCTTACCAGAGATTGAGATTCTGTGATTCTGGCAGGAGGCCAGGTAGTCTTTTTTTTTCCATAAGCTTTCCAGGTGATTCTAGTGGAAATCCAGTGCTTCTCAAAATTTTTAGTACATCTGAGTTTGTAGGGGGAATCCTGTTAAAATCCTGTTGAAGTACTGAATTTTGATTTCAGTACTCTGGAGTGGAGCCTGAGACTCTGCATTTCTAACAAACTTTCAGGTCATGCCAATGCTGGTGGTTTGTGAACTGTGTAGGAAAGAAGGTGACCTTCAAGTCCTATTCAAACTACAGTAATGGTGTTCAACTTTGATTTCACATTAGAATTATCTGGGAAACTTAAATATACTGTTGGAGTGCCACACAAATACCAACTAAATCAGAATTGAGGGGGTAGGAAGGGAGGGGTTGGTCCAGGTATATTATTTTTTATTTTTTATTTTTTTTACATTCGGATTGACTTTATTTTTTATTTATTTTTAAAGATTTTATTGGGGAATTGGGGAAGGGAACAGTGTTGGGGAATTAGGGAAGGGAACATTGTGTTTTTCCAGGACCCATCATGTCCAAGTCAAGTTGTTGTCCTTCAATCTTAGTTGTGGAGGGCGCAAGCTCAGCTCCAACTCTAGTCGGGGAGGGGGACGGGCATGCAGCCCACCATCCCATGCAGGAGCCGAGCTGGCAACCTTGTTGTTAGGACCACATGCTCTCACCAGCTGAGCCATCCGGCTATCTGTTAGCAGCTCAGTGGCAGCTCAGCTCAGGTGCCACTCACTGGCCCATGTGGGAATCGAACCTCCAACTCTGTTGCTCAGAGCTTGTGTCTTAACCAACTGCACCACCCAGCCGGCCCCAGGTATATTATTTTTAAAACATCCCAGGTGCTTCTGATGTCTAGGCAGAGTCAAGAACTAACCCTGATGTTGTTTATAACACATCCATAACAAGGACCATGACCATTTTGCTTTGATCATGAGAAGCTGCAGCCACATCAGGACAACCAAATGCCACATAAAGCTGCCCAGCAGAAAATGGTTGGAAAAAGTTAGAAGTGGGTTGTTAAATGACAAGAGGATAAAATTGGTTTGTATGATGAAGGACTTGAATTAATAAACATGCAGTGTTTAGGGCATAGTAGGTGCTCAAATTTTGAATGAATTTAAACATAATCTATATTCAGATGCCTCAGGGCTATGCTGTTAATTAAATTTGTAAAGGCCAAATTTGTTTCATAAGGACATATGTATTAATTTGTCAGGGTTTCCATAACAAAGTACCACAGACTTGGTGGCTTAAACAATAGAAATGTATTTCCTCAGTTTGGGAGACTAGAAGTCTGAGATGGTGGTGTCAGCAGGGTTAGTTTCTTGGTTGTCTCTTGTATGTCTGGGAGCAGTGGAAAGAGGTGGAGGTTGCATGTAAATTCGGGTGTTCTGCAATGCTGGATTGTGTACCTGCGGGGAATGTAAGCCTAGTGTTGCTACATCTTCAAAGGGGGGGGGGATCAGGATTTTTATGTAGAATCTCCCAATTTTGAATGTTTTCAAGTGAAAAAACAAACCCAAAAAACATTTAAACACCGAGAGCCCTGCTGTTAATATGTGGAGTGCAAAAGGGCATGGAGAGCAGCCTCTTCAGGCTCTAGAGGCTGTCAGGATTCATGCAGAGCCCTCTGGGGTTACGAATCTGGAAGGGCTCTCTGCCCAATTCAGCTCCCCCACTCGCTTTTTCCCAGGTGCAGAGCCTCCATTTCCCAGCCCCCACTTTCATACCCCTCTCTTCAGTTCCTTGGAGAACCCATCAGATCTGGGATTCACCACCTCCTAATGGGCTCGTTCATTCATTGTTTGCTGTGTGTGCCAGTCTCTAGACATTAAAGATACAGTTATGAACACCTTTGAATTCTGCCCCCCTCCTGGGTTTTAACCTCTTCTCATCTTTTCCCTGGGACTGTCAGTTTCTTTTTCCTACACAGGGCTGGTGAGTGTTTAGATCCACATGGGGGCTAATGAAAAGCCTCTTTTCATCCTCTGGCCTCTAGATCAGGGGTCAGCAAACTGCGGCTCGCAAGCTACATGGCGACTCTTTGGGTATGTTCCGTCTCAAAAGTTTGCCGACCCCTGGAAGAGCCAATCCTGTCCCTCACAACAATTTAAAAATTATTCTAGAGCCATAAATATATTTTTACAAATAAGGAAAATTTGAAGTAATATTATAAATGAAACTGATAGTTTTATTTTCATTTTCAATTTTACTTCAGAGCCACATGTATGTACCCAAAGAGCTGCACGTAGCTCACGAGCTGGTTTGCCAACCCCTGGCAGCTCTTCCGTCTCAAAAGTTTGCCCTCTAGATCAGACTCCACAAGGCAATTAGGCTTTTAATAACATGGAGAGTGAGGGCTTCTTGGAGTGATTCTTGTTATGCTGAGTTCCCAGATCTTTTCTCAAATTTGAGTTTTATTACAAAAGGCCTTCTTCTGATTTCTTGTTACTTGCTGGGCTATTTTGGAAATGTGGTGGGTTTGTGCTATGCCACAGGTGAGGGAGGAAAGGAAAAAAGGGCTTGCTACTCTCAGCTTACCGGAAGTCTATCAACTCCTGACTGTCCCTCCTTACACTTTGGGCTGCCTGCCTGTGGTCTATTACCCTGTTTTGCAACAACAGAAAGAGGCACGCTGCCCTGAGGTGGCCTCACCTAAGGAGGGAACTTTGCCCTCATTTGCCCCTCTGAAGATTTTGGAAACTCCTCCTGCCCTCTTACCCCCTGAGATCCTCCGCTATTACAGATCCGTGGGGCCATATCCCTCAGGTGTTGGGGCAGAAAAAAGAAAGAGAGAGAGAGAGAGGAGAGAGGAGAGAGGAGAGAGAGAGAGAGAGAGAGAGAGAGAGAGAGAGAGAGAGAGAGAGCGCCCAGGCTATCCAGTCTATGGTTTCTATCTCTCTCTGTCTATGGTTTCACTTCTGCTTTTGGAATCTTCTCCAACTGTATTTCAACATTCAGGCTCACAGCTCATTTCTCCTGATTTGCTTTCACCTGAAACTCTGACCTCAGGTTAGTTCTGCCTCCGTACCCCCCAGATCAGGTGTTCAGTTACTGACTCTCCCAGCCTCGGTCCTTGAATTCCTTCCTCTCCCTGTCTCCTATCAGTGTGACCCTCAGCTGAGGTTTGACAAATACAAGACAAAATAGCTCCCAACTGTGTTATGCTGCATGGTTTACAGAGCACGTTATTTTAATTATCTCAATTACAACAACTATCCCATAAGAAGGCTCAAAGAGGTTAAATAACCAAAAGCACAAAACTAGTAAGCGGTAGAGCCAGGACTCAAACTCAGATCTTCTGATTCCAAATTCCATCCATTCATGTGAGTATGAACACGAGGCCCAAGCAGATATGTGGTACTGGGAACCTCGGCACTTTCCACAGAGCCTGTATTTAACCCTCTCGCTGTGCATCAGCACAGCACAAAGTCAGTCATTGCCAATCAGAATTGACCATCCCAAGCGGCAGCCTGCTGTCAGAGCTCAATTTGGAGCAGGACTTGTTCAGTGGGTGACTCGGAATGGTGGCTGAGGCTTCCTTTTAACTGCCTTGTACTAAGGTCAGGATTGGTTTTAGACACGTATGACTGCAGATGAAGGCTGAATGAGGAGGTTTTGGCTATAAGTATTAATACCTGAATATGAATGATTTGGAAAAAAGGTACTTTTTCTCCCATAACAAGAAGTCTGGTGCTAGGAAGTTACAGGCTTGCTTCAGTGGCTCAGTGGTATTAGGGCTCTGACTCCACCTCTCTGCTTCTCTTGGCTTTCTCCGCATGGTTCCCAGCTGTGAGCATCACATCCTCACCCAGCTGCCCTTAAAGGCAAGCAGGAGAGGGAGGGGCTCTTTTCACGTCTGTTCTTATCAGGGAAGAAAACCTTTTTTTTATTTTTATTTAAAATTTATTGAGGTGACAATGGTTAGTAAAGGTACATAGATTTCAAGTGTACAATTCTGTAATACATTATCTATATATCACATTGTGTGTGTTCACCACCCAGAGTCAGTTGTCAGTAGTCCCTGGTAGATTTCAGGAGATCCCAGTCAGGTCCCTTGGGCCAAAAATGGGTCACACTCCCACATTCCAAGGAAATCTAGCACTGTTCAACATCTCTTGGGAGTGGGTTTCTGCCGTCAAGGTATAAGAAGAGATCAAGCATCTAGAATTGACGGGGCTTTTAGTCACTGTACATTCGTCTTTTATGGGATGATGTGCACCTATGCTAGTTATGGAACACTACATAATATGTGGAGGCACTTCCCCCATCCTGACTTCCAGTCACCTCTTCTGACAAAACTCTACTTGTGCTCTGTGTTTTGTGCCACATCTCCTTTATTATATGTTAAATGCTTTTCTGGCTAGGCAATGCCGTTTTGATTTTCCTGTCTCTCATAGCACCTGGCTCAGGGTTCACTCAACATTTGATGTAGGTGGTCAATAAATGCTAGTTGCCTGCATGCAATATCTCAATGATCTTTCTACAATGTAAGTTTGATCATGTCAGTCATCAGTTCAAAACCTTCAGGAGTAAGGTTCAAAATCCTAAGAAGCTCATAACAGACCCTTTATTATCTAACCCTATATATTTTTTTTCTTTCAAACTTTATTATGAAAAATTTCAAATATGAATAAAAGTTGACAGAAAAGCACAGTGATCACCCATATACCTACCATTTAGTTCAATGATTGTTAACTTTTTGCCATATTTATATCT